GTATTGATAAAAAGTCAGATGATATTCTGGAATAAGATGGCTGCACAGTTGCATTTTTTTAAGGCAGTGTTTGAAGTGCTTGTGAAAGTCCCAACAGCAGACTGGAAGGGGTGACATTTGGATAGCAAAGGGCGGCGTCCCCAGTTCCTGGCGCCTCAGCGTCTCTGGTGCTGATGGTGAGGGTGGGTAAGCCTTGTTGATCTCAGCATTGGGCACTGACCAGAGCAGATAGGTATCAGAGAATTTCACCTTCTGAGGAATTCAAATGAAGGATCTTATAAGATCACCTAATAGATTTCTTCGGTCCCTGCAGTGGTGAAGTAAGTTTTTCTCATTCCTTTGCTGGCAGGAGAGAAGAGAGAAGCTTCCAATTCTGCCAGATGTGAAGGAGGGTTGAGAATATATAGTTGTACTGATGTAGGAAGCACAAGATGAAGAGTTGTCTTCTTTCCTTACAAGATTGTGCTGAAGTAGCATTTAAACTCTGAGATTTAACAGCTTAATTTTATTTGGACAGAATTGCCTTACTTTATGTCTCTTCTAGGTTATTTTTACAATGTCTCCTGTGGACTATTTGTACCCTGGACTGAAAGAGAAAGAGAGGAAGAGCAGTTTATTTAGGGGCTCTTCAGATGCATTTGAAGTAGCATCAGGTAGTTTTCAAGTGGCTATGCGTAATCCATTTAATAAAATTCTCCTTGAGTTTTTTTTTCTAAATATCTCTCTATCTAAAATGTGCATAGCTTCTGTATAAGATTCAATTAACATCTTCACAAAAAGTCACAATAATGGAGAAGCAGAACGCAACTCTTAGTTGCTTTTGGCCTTCCATTTTAAAAACTGTTGTAATGGATTTAAAACTTTGAAATCAGGCTACAGGGTGTTAGGGACAACAGCTTGTGTTTATTTTGCTGTCACTCTTCTTATTTAGCAATGTTGTACACACACATGCTAGGATACTTCCTCCTTCCTTTGCTTATAGTCCATTAAACTTCAATTCAAGTTATGAAGTATTTGAACCTGTTACATTGCTTTGTGCTCTTGGGAAGATAAGGAGCTATAAGTAACCGTATAGTTATAAAGGACCAGGCCAAAGTATTTTGAATATATAATGCAAAATTGCAAAAAGGTGGAATTCTGTGAAGAATGTGTATGAGCAGCTTATAGAGGTTGGAGCATAGTCATGTCTTTATAGTCCCGTGGCTCTTTTGTAAAACAGCTTTTACAAGTATAGCTTGTAAACTTAATTTTTGCTGAAATCTGATGGGGCATTAAAGAACTTGGATAACTTTAATTTTATTTCTTATTTATTTTCCATTTTATTTCTTAATTACATGAAAGCAAGAAATCAAATATCAGGGAAGAACACAAGGCATCTGAAGTTGGGGATTTCAGTGCATGGGAGGGAGGCTTGCTATGAAATAAAGAACATGACTGTTTTGAGCATTGGAATGTGTGCATCAAGACATATAGACTAGGCTTTTTTTGTCTTGATTGTATTTTAACAATCTGACCTATTCTTTATCTGTGTCTTTAGGTAATGGGGCAGTAAGTCTCTGCTTGCATTTAAAATGTCTGACATTTTGGGGGAATTTCCACAGTCTAAATAATATATGGAGTCACATTAGCTGAGAGTTTGCATGATGAATGCCATAGATTAAGGAAAGGATGATATATTGCATGTGAAGTAGAAGTTTTCAGCTGCTGTTTGGAGTCTTCATTAAATTACTGGAGATGGTATGCTTTCATAAATTACTGGAGATGGTATGCTTTCCTAATATTATGCACTCAATTTTAAAACTGTTTGAGGCATGATCCAACAAAAGGAACATAGTGTATTAGTAGGGATTTAAAATTAAATTATCCTTAATTCATATCCTGTGTGTCATATCCCTCATGGTTATATTCTGCTACAAATGTTGCATAACTGTTGGTTGAAACTAATGCTGTATTTTAAATTCTTAATGATCCCTTTTTGTTTTCAAATGAAAGACAAAAAGGATTCTTAATTTAAATGTTAGTAAGAATAAACCATGACGTTTAAATAGAAGGATAATGCTCTAATCACAGGTGTCAACTGTTTTGTTTTATGTTCTGCAGAAATATGTTCCTGGGGGGCGAAGGAGTGTACGTGCCCATCTTCAAAATTAAAACCAGGGGGTTTTATTTGTATGTATTCACAGAAATTTGTGCAAATATAGCTAAAACATATCTATAGAAAGGCAGGTGGAAGGACTATTAAAAATCAGATATTGTACTATTAATTCTTTCTTTTATGCTGCCTGCGTCAATGAATCTTTCCAGAATAACTTCACACCAAACACTTTATTAAGAGAAGCATTCAAAACTTTCCAAGCCAGTTTTGTTATGAAACATCCTTGTGTTAGGCATGGCAGCATTTTACATGGTGGTAAACAAGCCAGTCTAGGGTCACTTGTAAATTGTTACCCCAGAAAGGGTTGATCTCTGAGGGTGAAAACAGGCAAGTCTGGTTGTAGAAAGGAGGATGTTCATCATCTGCAGGACAGGGCAGTGGGAATGCCTTGCAGGGAGGAGGGGTGTCCCAAAAAACTCCTGTAAGCCTTCCTCTTAGTGCTAAAAAGTTCCCCTTCAAAGTCGGATCTTAAATGGATCTTTGACTTGAGACGATGCAATGGTTTATAAAGATTCTAGTCTTTGACCACTTGGCTGGCTTTTATTATACCAATTCATTGATCTGAGCTTAGTAAAATAAAATCTTCTGTAAAATTATTTTAAAAAGGCAAGGCTGGAGATCAGAGGTTTCATATTACAATAGTAGATCCTGTGGCCACCACAGCAAGATATTCCTGGTGAATGACACATTGTCATTGCTTTTCACAGAGAACTGCTAACAGGCCTCTCTCAACTTTTTTTACAAATGTTCTGCCAAAAAGTAGAGGAACAATTCAAGGATTTGTGTTACTGCTGTAGCTGAAGGTCTGCAATCACTCTTATTTTCTGGTCTAGGGTGCAGTGCAGCAAAAGGAATAAAACATTAAAAATTTGGTTTTAAAGTAGCAGAATAGGTTGAACAAGTGACAAACATGGAGAAAGTATTATTTGGCTTGAATATGATTGAATTTTTAATCTAAAATTCATAGCATTTTTGTGAAAAAGCTATTTTATTTTTCAAGTGATATCACAGAAATAACTTCATCAGTTGGCATGCTTTGCAAGTTTTTTTTATATGTGAATTGAATTGGAAAAGATAGGGATATATCTTCCCTAAAGGGAAGGGATAGGGATATATGCCTTCCCTAAAGATTTTATGATTTTCACTTCAGTGTGGTGAATAATTAATTTTAGCCATACTTCTATAATAAGTAAGTATAATATTGAAGACAAGTAGTGCCTGATCTTACTGCTCAATTCTCAGAAATGAAACATGATTCCACAAAAGCTCTTCCAGATATTTTTTTCAATTGCAGCTGGACTTACTGATCTCATCTAGATCTCGGTGCACACTGAGCTTTTGTCGCAACCTCAGAGCTGAAATGTTCTATGAGAGCTGCTCTCACTTAGAAGAGCTCTGGCTAACCAAGTTACCCAGCACATAAAATATTAATGTTGGGACCCCAGTTTTGGCTGATGTTCTTAGTATCACTGCTTGGGGTGGGATTAGATGCTGATGCCATGATCCTATATTGGCAGGCTGTTCTTCAGTATTGTTTTTATATGTTTAGGGTAGAGCATATGCACTATGTAGTTCTCTAGCCCTCAAACATTGCTATTGTTCAGGTGATAGACACAAGAGTACTTGTTAAAGTATTTTAATAGCATTTAGACTGGGTTACATTACAGTGAATCGACTCAATAATTTGGGACCTAATAAAAGCTTTTTTTTAGGAATGAAGCTCCACTGAATATATTTTTTTTCTACTTCAGTGTTTTCCTTATGTTTGAGGTCTGTATATATCTCTTTAACTTTGATTCTTAAAGGGTTTAGTACCATCACATCTTATGTAAGTTTCTTTGTGTGATGTTAAATGTGCAGGAGGAACAGATCTGTGCAGAGACAAATTTCAATGGTTATTTTTTAGAACAGAATTGTATTTTCAGAATTGTTACTAGTACTTCATGTACAGTGTGTTGATTTCTCTAGGATATACTGAAAATATCACTTGTTTTGAAATAGTATTGTGGGATGTAAAATGTTGGCTGCATGTAGGCTTATTTGGAGTGCATGTCATATTTTGCATAAATGTCCTATATATGCTGTTAGGAGAGCTAAATTTATGGTCTTCCATGCTGACTTTGGAATGCAAATATAATTCTCTTTTAATTCAATGAACTTTTATTATAGCACTTCCAACATGTATACAATGAGGAGAGAAAAAACAATAGCCCTCTTTGAGTAATACAAACACATTAAATTATGAAATATACTTACCTCACCAGTATTATAGGTAGCTTGCCTGTAGTCTTGGGTTTTTCCAAACATGAACTGTGTCCAGAATTCTTTACCTCTTTTAGTTATTATCTGGTTTTGTTCATTATATACTTTTAATTGCATTTACTTCGTAGTTTAATTTTGCCATTTCTTATCTTGTGTCTCTCTCCATTCCCTCTCTGTCCCCCACTACAGTACTAGGGTTTCCCCTTTGTCCTCTGAAGGAATGCAAGCTTAAATAGGGGCTTGGATTAGTGTATCTGGACATGTTACCCTCCACAAAACAGGGGTAGTGGAAGTAAATCATCTGTTATCTCCATGCGCTAGCCGTATAGATGTGTCTTTCATTTCTAGAATTGATTGTTGAACTGAGATTCTCCTTTCTTAGTGGCAGGATGGAATATGTAGATGTATACATAAAAGGGTGGTTTTCAGGTAAAAATATGTGCACTGTTTGCTCCTTTGTCATACTTTGCATACAATTGATCTGTCATGAATGTTAGTATTGATACTCAGAAATAAACCTCAAAATTGCAGTTCTAACTGAAGCCTTGACCTTTACAAATATATGCCATATTTTTGTTTACAGGTGTAAAACAAAGGTGTATGTAGACAACCTTCCCACAACAAGTGTTGTCATTGTTTTTCACAATGAGGCTTGGAGCACACTTCTACGAACTGTTCACAGTGTGATAAACCGGTCACCACGGCACATGCTGGAAGAAATCGTCCTCGTTGATGACGCCAGTGAAAGAGGTAATGATAACGTTGATGCTGTAGCTTGCTGTGCTTTTTACTTCAAAAATTGAGGCTGACTTTCCACGAGCTCATCTCTTCTCAGCAAAACACAGTAGCTGGGGCAGGGAAAGGCAGAGTGAGCAATACCGGTTTTGAAATATAGGTGGGTGATTCTCCACTGAAAACTGGTGTAAGTATCTGTTTACTTTTCTGTTGACAGTGTATGGTTTGTGTTTGCTAATGGGTTTATTCTATTATAACTTTCATGTTTCGCATTTAGAATTTTAACACATTCCTAAAGTTTGAGGGCATTTAACACTTGAATCAGCTGGTGAATAATAGCAAAGGCGACTCTGTTCCTCACATCCAAATTTACTGTAACTACCACCGTCAAGCTTGGCAGAGGGATTAATTTTGATTATTCAGTTCATGGGAAGTTGAAATTAAGTTTCTATGATGTAAGAGCTTCCACTTTTTAATAACTAGTGTTTCAGTTGAAAATTCCATGCTACAACATGAAACTTACCATGTGTAATGAAGTTAATAGACAAAACTTGAAGCTGATTTTTTCTTAAAATAAAATAACTTTATTTAGATTTTTCATATTTTTTTGAAAATTACAATATAGTAGAAATAAAAATAAAATTCTAGACAATACCTGATACTTCATTTTGGTTAATAGTTGCCAGTTAGGCTTGTTCCTTGCTTAATCTTACTCAGTGGTTTGGGTTATAAAGTATAACTTGAGGGATTTTTTTTTCTTGTATTTGTAAATTCAGATGAGAGGGATCTTTTTAATCTTAAACATTTCTATATTTTTATATTGAATCACCTTTTTTCTATATTTCTACATTGGAAGTTTTCCACTAGGGTCACTAGAAAAAAAGTCTTGGCAGCCTCCAGTTGGAGGCTGTTATCTGTATGAGCAGGAATTCCCATGCTTTAGTCATGGAAGGGTTTTACACCCAGCATGCTGACATCTCTGCCTGATGCTTCTGATTCCAGTGCTGCAAAATCTGTATTCTCCTGCTTATGGTAATTCCAGCTTCAGAGTGAGATGGCTGACTGTTGTCCAGACAACAAGATCTGTCCGAACAAGATCTATGTGTGAAGAGAGACACTGGATTTCAGATCATATGGCCTAAGTAGCATTATGGTGCGTGGATTACAATACTTAACAGGCGGTTTTATGATAGTAACCAATACAGTGGTTAACGGGATTTTTTTGTAGTGAAGGACCTTCAGGAGTGGATTTTTGCACTTCATACCTAACGCGGTAGAAAGTGTAATGAATTTAATCTTCGGGTTGCACGTGTGCGTGATGCCTAAGCATATTCACTGACCTATTCCAAACTATGTAGGTCTAGAGTATAGCTGGTTGCTGAGTAGCTGAGCAGCCTAAAGAAAGCTCGTATCAGCTAACTGAGCTCTGCCCAACCTGTCTTCCTAAGGAAGCATAGCTCATGCACTCAGAATGTGTTTGCACACACTCTCTTGCTTTTGCTTTCTTACCTCATTCTAACTTTAACTGCTTCAGACAATTTCAGTGAAATTTGAAAGAAAGGACAGAGGCCTTAAATACAGTTATGTTCTGGCAGCAGGGAACGAGTGCCCATGCGAAGGGCAACACTGCGCATAAATGTTTTTCAGGTTAGATGGGAGCTGTGATTAACTTTTGCTTTTAGAAAGGCACAAGATCAAATTTTCACTGTTTGCACTTGTGGGGAATTTGTAATTACACCCCACAGTTTCTTGTACTTTTTCAACCTCTATATAAATGCTAGATTTTTTTTGTTCTAATGCGTTTGAAACTTCCCACTCCTCTTGGTGTTGTTCCCGGGAACAGTCCTGTCTTTAATGTGGATGCTGATATTTGGATTCTGAGTGCCTATACTAGGTTATTGTACAGGTATATGCTTCTTTAATGGATCAGAGATTGTACATTTGTTTTGGTTAGTTAGCTTTTGGGCACAGATTCTTGCTAGGAAAACAAAGCTTATTGGAAGTGCACTCTTTCATTTGTCAGTCCTTGTCAGTAATTTGAATCAGTGCTAATGACTAATTGTGACAAAACAGTTTTCAATATGATGTAGAAATAAAGAGCAAACTAATATTAAAATTATGTAAAGATAATATTTCTTGTTTTTTACCTCTTCAATTTCTGTTTGAGAAAAAAGATCAATTTTAACATAGCAGTAGCCATGTCCTCATCATGAAGTACAATTATGGTCCAGTTGAAAGAGCATATGGCTTTCTTTAGATAACTTTTCTGTTTATCTGTTTGGGTTAGGTAGTAAAAGCAAGGTAACTTAGTTCTAGGCTGACAGACGTAGCATTTCAGACCTTTCTTGGTGTTGTTATTGAACCTGTTCCAATATTTAGTTTTGAAATAAGTCAGGCATCTATTTGTAGTTATTTTCAACAATTACTGAAAGTTTTTTGTTTTGTTTTCCAAGAACTTGTTATGATTCCAGCAAGCATGTTTTTACATTAAACCAAACAGAAGGGTATGATGACTGAAAATTTGAAGGGTTTAGCATATGCTACTTAAGCATTCTGTTTGTGTTGAACTAAAACAGCAGATGTTTCCAGAAAAAGAAAATGTTCAGTCTGAGCAGTGTATTTTGAATGCTAGCATCAGAGTCAATTTAATTGGAATAAAGTAAGCATTCAGTCTGCCTGAAGCACACTTTGTACCTGCTAGTGTCATGCTCTTAGAAGAATGAATTTGCATAATGTCACCCACTTATTGACATCAAAAGCTTTGGAGAAACAAGAAAAATCATAGAATCATAGAATGGTTTGGGTTGGAAGGGACCTTAAATACCATCTGGTTCCAACCCCCCTGCCATGGGCAGGGACACCCTCCACTAGACCAGGTTGCTCAAAGCCTCACCCAGCCTGGCCTTGAACACCTCCAGGGATGGGGCATCCACAACTTCCCTGGGCAACCTGTTCCACTGTCTCACCACCCTCACAGTAAAGAATTTCTTCCTAATATCTGGTCGTAATCTACCGTCTTTTAGTTTAAAGCTATTACGCCTCGTCCTATCACTACACTCCCTGATAAAGAGTGTTTCCCCATCTCTCCTGTAGGCTTGCTTTAGGTACTGGAAGGCTGCTATAAGGTCCCCCTGGAGCCTTCTCTTTTCCAGGCTGAACAACCCCAACTCTCTCAGCCTGTCCTCACAGGGGATGTGTTCTACCCCTCTGATCATCTTCATGGCCCTTCTCTGGACCCGCTCGAAACGCTCAACATCCTTCTTGCGTTGGGGGGCCCAGAGCTGGACACAGTACTCCAGGTGTGGTCTCATGAGAGCAGAGTAGAAGGGGAGAATCGCCTCCCTCGACCTGCTAGTCTCGCTTCTCTTGATGCAGCCCAGGATCCAGTTGGCATTCTGGGCTGCAAGTGCACACTGCCGGTTCATGTTCAGTTTTCTATCTACTGGCACCCCCAAACCCTTCTCCTCCGGGCTGCACTCAATCCGTTCTCCACCCAGCCTGATTTGTGCTTGTGATTGCCTCAGCCCATGTGCAGGACCTTGCACTTGGCTTTGTTGAACGTCATGAGGTTGGCATGGGCCCACCTCATGTGGGCCTGTCCAGGTTCCTCTGGATGGCATCCTTTCCCTCCTGCGTGTTGTCTGCACCACACAGCTTGGTGTCATTGGCAAACTTGCTGAGGGTGCACTCAATCCCACTGTCCATGTTGCCGACAAAGATGTTGAGTAGCACTGGTCCCAGTACTGATCCCTGAGGAATGCCACCCATCACTGGTCTTCATTCGGACAAGGAGCTGTTGACCGCAACTCTGAGTGCAACCAGCTGGCAAGTTCCTTAGCCAGCAGGTTGTCCATCCATCTAATCCGTATTTTTCTAGTTCTGCTATGTTGTTCTCTAGGTACTGATCAGAATTCCATGTTTTCTTTTTAATTACTGATCTTTGGTAACTATTAAAAAAAAAGGTTAATGGGAGAAATCAAGTTTAGTCAGTACTTAAACCTAGGTCAGCACTGAATGGCCAAGCGTTGCAGGCAGATTTCATCAGGATAGAATATACTTGCAGAAGTTATAGAGATGCAGATCAAAGCAATGTAACCAAACCTAAATTCCTGCTAATAATGTCTTATAAAAGTATTCACACTTCTTAAAACTGTTTGCATGCTTGTATGTGATAAACCTGTGTTTTATTGTAGTTTAATAAAAAATTGTTTGAAACTTAATTTTTCATTTATATTAGTATAAATGTGACTCAATAATAGAATTGGCAGGGTGTTTTTCAGCTTATGCACTTATTTGACTTCAACTGAACACATTTGCTTTTTTTGCTTTCTTAGTTATGCTACTGCCACAGATGCTCTTTAAACTGTCCATAGTCCTGGGTAAAAATGCACAACCTTTTGATACAGAAAAAGTTTGAAAGGAATATCCAGCAGAAGGAGTTAAAATTAAACGAAAGTTATGCCTCTTAAAATACATGAATTATTGTACCCAAGTAGAAGTATTTATGGTTTGTGGGGTTTTTTTATTACCAAAACCTCAGTCTCTGAAGTGTATGAGGCAGTGCTAAAAATTTACTCAGCTGTCATCCTGGGTCACTTGTAAACATCTGACTCTGTGATGCATAAGACTTTTCGTTTGAGTGTTTAATATAGGGTTTAGTATGAATATAACTAATAGGTTTGTATAGAAAATAATCTGTACAGCTTGATTCTGGCATTTCTTGTAGACCAAAATGTATTGCATGCATTAAAAGACTATTCAAATCTTATTTATTTTTTTTAAAGAAAAAAAGCGAGTACCACCTTGTTACCAATTTCTGGATGGATGACTGCTCCAAAACTCTAGATTCTCGGTACTTGAACTAAGGGATCATTTTGTGAGTGATGTGTATCACTCAAAGAGAGTGTGCTCTGGAAGGAAAATATGCTGCTTAGATTTGAGCATTTAACCCTAACTCCTGGTAGCAGAGAAGCACCAGAAATCTTGGTGCCCAAGTTATTTTCCATGCTTTTGTAGGCATGAGGCATCAAGCTTTAACTCTTTCCTTATTTTGCTGAATTTCTAGTAATATTTTAAGGGCACAGTTACTGAATGTCTGGCACAATGTTTTGTTTTTAGGAATACTTCCTTCTGGAGTTTTGAACAAGGTAGTTGATGAAAATATTTTTGTGGACATGGTTAAATATTGAGAGAAGGACTGTTCTTGACCCTGTTCCCTCTGTAGTGAAAAATTTACACGTCTGTGACTGTTTCATAGAGAAAAAAATTGAAAAGTACTTGAAAAGATAAATTGAAGTTTGAAATACTTTACAGGGAAAATGTCAGTAGGACTTAAGATTTTTATATGTAACATGTTGACCATGACTTTCTGTAATGTAACTTTCTGTTTCTGACAGTTCTTGACTGGCAGCTGTATTATTGAAATCTTTTTCTGTCTTCTTCCTAGCAGAATGTTACCATTCTGTTAATGTAACTGCATTCAAGGAGCAGTCCGTATTCGTTCAGCTTTAAGTAGTTAGAACTACTTCAAAAGCTTATCATTACTACACCTGAAATGTGCAGAGGAACATGCTGATTTGTGTGACTTGCTCATGAGATGGCTATCTTGGAGAGAAATGCTTTACCATTGTATTCTATTTGTGCATGTCATGGAAGCCATATACATTAAAACTATAAATGTTCTTTTGAATTAGTGGCTTTGGAAAACTACACTGTAAAGAGATGAGATTATATTTGCTACAGACTCAGACAGACAAATGATCTTTGTGCTCACCCCCAAAAGGCCTGCAAAATGTTCAGACATGTACACTTGGTTTGTACTCATAAACATTTATTAATTTGAATCTCTCTTAATGTGCACAATAAGAATTAACTTGCTTTGAGTTTCTCTGGAGACAGACACTTAAGATCTATCAAACTGTTAGGCTCTTCTAGCACAGTTCAGTTTTCAAGATGTGTCAGAACTTATTTCTGTGGGTTTTGGTGACAGTCCAACAATGCATAGAAAAAAATGAGGAGGCAATTGGAACTCATTCATCCGGAGCAGTGTTAAGGAATGGTAATCACCCTCAGGTCAGCTCTGCCTCTTGAGATTTACAAAACAGCCTGAAAAGGTTCATGCCATGCTTTTTTTCCCCATCTAGTGTCATATTTATTCTTGTATGAGGTACTTGCTATCTTACACTAAATCCTACTACAGGCTTTGCACTGTTCTAGTACAACTCCCATGTGCCCCTCTAATATATTCCGTACCTGTGTTACAAGACTGTTTTGCCTTTTTTACAGATTGGAAATCTGCAAGTTATTGCAGAAATCTGTTTCTGTGACTGTCAATTGCATTCTCCCTCAATTATTTCTTCTTCCTTTGGCATCGTCTAGCAGAGTCTGATTTTTCACAATGGTCAAAAACTGTGCCTGGCAATGGGAAATTTGTTCATTTGTCAGCTCTTCGTAATGCAAGTAATTTTGAGTCTCTAGTCATGTGGTAGTCAGTTATAGCTGTTGTATTTTGAATAATTTGTTTCTCAGCTAGGCTGAGGTTTGTTGGTGTTACAGATATTCATTTATGTATAGCTGATTTTTTTCTTCATTTTTGTTTTTAGGTGTTATACTGATAATTTTATAGAAAATATGTTAGCCAAAAAAAAAAAGAAAGCACAATTGAAAAATAGATTTGGTCATGTTTTAAACTGCTTGCAAATAAGTTATCTGTAAGTTACGTTGCTGTAGGAGGTAATTCATTATGTTCAGCTAGTCGGATCATTTTCTGTATTTTCTTGGTAGATAAGTGTTATGTCCAAGAACACTTATACATGTTTTTGAAAGTAAGAGTCACATCCACTCAAAAATAAAAACTTGCCTATCCCATCTGGTTTCTGAGTAAGCATTCTACATTTTTGTGTTTCCCATAATGAAGAAATGAAGAGGAGGAAGAACTTCTGTCTATAGCAAGTGAAACACATGGAGGTGTGGAAGGGCATTTTGTGAAGTGTAGAATAAGCAGCAGAGGAAACTAGCTGAGAAAGTATGAAAAGGATAAAAAGAAACAAAGAAATTTCTCTCAGTTCAAGTTTCTTAATTAAAAAAAAAAAAGCTTAACTATGTAAGTGACTGTTTCCATGGTTTTGGACGTTGTTTGCAGACTTCTTGAAAAGACCGCTGGAGAACTATGTGAGAAAATTAAAAGTACCTGTTCATGTGATTCGAATGGAACAGCGTTCTGGATTGATTAGAGCCAGATTAAAGGGAGCTGCTGCTTCTAAAGGCCAGGTCATCACCTTCTTAGATGCTCATTGTGAATGTACAGTAGGCTGGCTTGAACCTCTGCTGGCAAGGATCAAAGCTGACAGGTAATTACCTATCTATTGGTCCATATTGGGTTTTTTAATTATTTAAAAATGTTCCAAGTACTAGAATATATCCTACAAGTAAATATCTGCTTTCTGAAGGGCTGGACAAATTCTAATTGGTGTAAGGATAAAAGGCTAATTCAGTACAACTTTTAAAAAGTAAAACTTGGTTTAAAGTGAAGCTTATATTGGGATACATGGGATAATGTGTTAAATAGCAGGAGACCTGAGCATGAATGGAGTTGAGAGAGCAGTGGAATTTGAGATCTTCCATCTGCAGCCTGGCCCATTCATGAATTTGGGAAGATATTCTTGAGGAAGAAATGGAGCCTTGATCTCATGTAACACCAACACTGTGAGCAAAAACTATCAGGTTTACTGTTTTCAGGTTCTCATTGTGATTTCTTTATTTTGTAATGTGTTTGTATTGTAGAATTCTGTGCTGTTACTTGGTCTTATGAGTTGCATTTTCTAAAGTTCCGTTACTGGAATCATACTGATCTACACTGCAGTACCATAGTTTTCTATTTCTATCATAAGTCAATATTTACAACACATCCATGACAGTGTGATGGAAATTGTATTGGGGGTGGGGGGAAGTGAGAGAATGGTCTTCTTTATAATAAACATTCATACATCTGAGCAATAACTCTGTAGTTGTACATTAGTCTGTTAGTAAACAGCATATTAAATAGACTAGACATTAAGTATGACGTTACTGACCTCTGTTCTGTTCGTATGTTTATAGATAAAAATCACTTTTAAAATTTAACGTTATAAAATACAGCACTACATGATGAAAAACTACAAGTAATAAGTAATTTTTGTTCAGAACTGTGCTAAGACATCATATTGTAACAATTTGTGCAAATGGTTCAACTAAGTAAGTCCTGATTTATTTGCAACCCCTGAATCTTTTCACAGAGCTTTCTGTGAGAGGAAGCCTGCTTGAGGATGGTTACTTAAGTGTCTTTAAGATTATTAGAATTAGTTTCTTTGAGCATATGTCATAATAGTGTCAGGACAGTGGGCAAGGAGGCCTCTTTCTGTCAAGTTTGATGCAGTAGTTATACTTTGTTAACAGTGACTATAATTTCTTCATCCAGAGGTCATATAAGGATACTTCTTCAGAGCTAATGACCAAGTTTTAATTTCAAAACGTGCGTTACTTTGACCACTTAACTAGAAACAGAAACCTCTGGTTCTCTATACAGTCACTCTGTAGCACTGAGAAAGCTGTGATCAATTTTTCCATCTACAGAGGGATGAATATTTATTACTGCTAATAATGCAACTATTATTTTAAAAAAGAGCTAGTAGTGCCAAAATTGTATCAGAAAAACACATTTTCCTTTAGATGAATTAACTCTAACTAGCAAGACAGAATTTGAATACGTTTCATGGTAATAATCTGTTGAGTACCATTGTTAAGAGGTGGCACTATGAAAACTTAAGCTGTATGTGTTAAAAACAAAATTAAAAAAACCCGAACACCTTTTTTGACACTTTAATTGATAGGTTTTGGTTCTTCTGTTTTTCTAGGAGAACAGTAGTGTGTCCCATCATTGACGTAATTAGCGATGACACCTTCGAATATATGGCAGGTTCCGACATGACCTATGGTGGATTCAACTGGAAGTTGAATTTTCGTTGGTATCCTGTTCCTCAGAGAGAGATGGATCGACGGAAAGGAGATCGAACCCTTCCTGTTAGGTAATAAGAAATTATTGAATTTGGTAAAATGTTCACCTGATGTTTATTCATATCCTTTCTAGGTTAACTTTCTAAGTAAGTGCTTAAACTTACTGTAACCCTGACTGTACAATTTTCTTGTATGAAGCAATAATAGTGAAAGTAAGCAGGCCACTTCCTTAAAGAAGCTGGTTTACTTTTTATGAGTTACCAGCAGTGGAGGCAGAAGTCTTTCTCAGGAATGGCAGCAGCTTTCTAGGTGCTGTTGCTCTATCTGGACTCTGATTTGAAGTGAGAAAATAAGGAGAACTGTAACTAACTGATTCCATCTCTGGAAAATTTTGAGCTTGTGAGTACATCAGTGGTAACTGAATTTGGATGGAAGCCTACTGAGAAAGAACATATTAGGAACTTGGGAAATAAAAAGCTGTTTTGTCAGTGAAAGCGTGAGATGTATTTAAGTATAGATTTTCATAGTGACTGATGCTTTTTTGTCTTTTTTCCCACCCCCAGGACACCTACAATGGCAGGAGGTCTTTTTTCAATAGACAGAGATTACTTTCAGGAAATTGGAACATATGATGCTGGAATGGATATTTGGGGTGGAGAAAACTTAGAAATCTCTTTCAGGGTGGGTAAAGCTCTTCTCTTTTCAGTGTTTTATTACTCAAGACAGTGCATCTTGAGTTCTGTAAAATACAAATCTGTTGTCTGCGTCAGTGTTCTCTCCTGTTGTGGTTAGCACTTCACTTTCTGTCAAGTTTGTCCAGTGGAGATACCCAAAGACTGTATCTGTCAGTGAAAAGTGCATGGTAAACAGATGGCAAAACGTTGCGGTTAAAAGATTGGGATGGTCATTCTGAAGAACGAATGCATGTGTGTTACAAAGAGTTCAGTTAGAAAAGCTAATTGGGGGAGCATAAGTTAAGGGTGATGCCATCAGTGTATGGTTTAATGTATCAGTGAAATATGAGCACCTCTGTTACAAACTCTCTCTTCTTGCTGTTTTCTAACTTAATGATTGCATATGTTCATTTGGATGTGGACCTAATCAGCACTGTTCTTGCTTTCATTCCTAACAAATTGGTACTATTTCCTTTTGTTTTATTTACCAGTTCAGAGTATATAGGTGGATACTTCTGAAGTAGTTCAGCTTTCTGAATCTGACATTTTTAGAGGTCCAAAATAAAGTTGAAAATATTTTCTGAAACTTTACTTGGGAAGTTAATGGTTTTATTTACATGGAGATTTTGTTTTATACTGGACTTTTTTTGACAGATTACCACCTGTTACTTCCCTGTGATTCATGTGAGCTTTTTCCTTCTTTCACTGTCAGCTTGCCCAGTTCTCTAGAGTAGTCTCTTGATGATGCATTGTTGCTGTGAAGCCTGTCATACTCTTTCTTTTGCTACCTTACTCAGGCTTGTGAGCATCTTTATCTGTTGAGCAGGAAACAGGCATACATTTCTCTTCTATGCAGTATGTATTTGTCTAGACCTCAACTGATGTTGTTTCTCTAATTTGAACATAAGCAAATGATTAACGTTTGTTTTTTTTTAACCACTTGAATCTATACAGTAATTGTTCTGTCACTTTCAGATTTGGCAGTGTGGTGGCACTTTGGAAATTGTAACTTGTTCACATGTTGGTCATGTGTTCAGAAAAGCAACACCATACACTTTTCCAGGAGGTACAGGGCAGATAATCAACAAAAATAACAGGAGGCTTGCAGAAGTCTGGATGGATGAATTCAAAAACTTTTTTTACATCATTTCCCCAGGTGAGCAAGTCTTTGGTTATAAGAAAACTGTTATTGCTACAGGGAAAAACATAAATATTTAAATGTTACTGTTTTGGAATTTGTAAGACAAAGCTCATGTAAGACGTACAAAATTAAAGGTCTTCATTGAAAAATAATTTTGTTAGCCAGAGATGTTCCCTGCAGTAATCTTATTTTTTTTTCTTAAAACATTAACGTAATTTGTGAATGAGCTTCATCTGATATAGAATTAAAGCTTAGTGGAACATCAAAGAGCTCAACTGTAGTGCTGAAAACTGGCCATCTAAATATATCTCATAATGTGATGGAGTTTGGCCTCTGGCTTCTGTGTTGTAGGCATTCCAGGTTGAACAGATCAGAAGTGATTTAAGTGAAACCCTGTAGCAGGAGTGGCAAAAGATAACATTATCTGGCTTGGTAGAGGTTGGACTTCACTATCCAGAGTATAAGGGCAGGTTGCCAATCTACTTGACTGTGATATTTATTATGTTTCTTAAAATGGATGTTAACAAAACAAGAGGATGTAAAATATGAGAGCAAATTTCCTATGAACTCAAACTTTCTGAAAAAAAATTTCAGGAAAAGAAAGGAAGCCTAGGAAATACTGAATTATTACTTTCCACTACAGGATATATTTGCTGTTGTTCAAAAAAAACAAAGAGAAAAAAAACTTTGGGTAGGAACAGTCATCCTCTCTAAATACTTGAGATATTATAGACATTCAACTTTAAATACTAAATGGTAATTCTGTATGCCACATCTGCTTTTCCAAAGACGTATACTTAAAACTAGTATTTCCTTATGACTTACTGGTTAAGCCTGCATTAGTATTGAAATCTAAAAGCTGTAATACAATGTAGTATGAGTCTGAACAGTGTCAAATTTTAAATTACAGTTTTTAGAATACTTGTGAGAACAAATGACTGCAGATTTATGGTTGTTTTTTGTCTTAATGCATTACTCAAGTAAGGCTGTGTAGGATTTTTTTAATTTTAAAAAAAATAGTTCTTGCTACTACTCAAAGCTCTAATTTTAGGTGGAATTAGAAGCTGCCCTGTGTTATTAATGAAGCATTATAAATTCAAACATGATGTACAGATATTCAGAAAAGTTGTATGTAAATAGGTGCAGTCATTTTTGGTTAAGATTGCTTTTATGCATCCATGTCAAGCTAGATTTTAAAACGTACTAAGTAGCTGGAACATATAGCTATAAAAATAACCTAATTCTTAAAAACAAATGTAAATTACTGAACACCATGACAAGGCTCTCTTACTTTAATCTCTATGTTCCTTCCATTTGATGTGGTAACTGTAAGCTGTAAAAGGAGTTACACTGCTTGAATTTCATAGGACTTTTTTTTCCATAGCTTTGCAGTGTTGTGGAGTATGCATGCATTCTCCTGTTGGAGAAAAGGAATGAAAGAATTTAATTCAAAACTTTTGAAATCGTGAAAGCAACTTAAGCAATTATCTGTAACTGCACTGTATATTTTCTTTCCTTTCAAAATATGCACATGTGCATAGTTTGTATGCTAATAGCGTGAATGATCTGTGGATAGAGCTGTGTTCTTGCCAAACTCCTCTTAGAGAGTCTGCACCTACTGACCGGTACACAATCTCATTTATGTACCCATATCTGTATTGACACTGCACTAAGGTTTGATGCTAGAATTTCCAAGTGTTTCAAGAATAAGATCATACAGTACCTGAATAAATTGAGTTATTCTGAAATTGGTTCATTGCCTGGGGCTGTGAAGAGAGTAGTTAGTACTGTAGTTCATTCTTAGGTATGATATAATACCTATTGTTCAGAGAATGAACACATAAATGTTCTTCTCCCTGCTGCTCATGCCTCTCACCGCTCAAATCCATGTAGGTTATGAGAGCCAATAGGTATTAACTAGAAAGGATTATTTTGGAAAGGTCAGAAACACCTTACTGCTGTTATTCTGGTATCTCCAATCTTACCTGAGTTTTGCAGACCCTGATTTTACCTGTTGACAGAAAATAACAACAGCGTAAATTTCAGTAAATCTTTCTGTTCAATAGTTGTCTTAGGACCTCGGCGAATCTCTGCTACGCTGGCTCTTTTAGCCATACTCTGCTTTTCGAGGTATCCTTCTAATGTGAAAAATTAAATGTTTAGTTCTTGCAGAATGATGATGTAGTGACCCTCTGGCAGACTACAGTGTGCAGCCTGTGAAACTCTTTGCTAGTACAATGTGTACTTTCAATATTACTGTAGCAGCGTCACGAGTTCTTGCAGGGAGCGAGGTGAGAAATTTTTAAGCCAATGCTGGTTTGCAAGCCTGGGTGAAGAAGAGCAAGGAAAACAGGCAGTCCTCTGTGCACTCGAGTTTGTTTTTTTTTTTTTCTCATTAGTTGACATGAATGAGAAGATTGGATTTTTAGGGAGGTAATATACTGGCAGGCATCATTAAGCCTAGCTAACAAGAAATTATTCTCCTTTATAGCCTTTCTCTTCTGCTCCCCTAAGATAGTGAATCACAGAGGGATTGGTCCAGGAAAGCAAGCCTAAGATTCTCAGGTAGCTTTCCCACTTCATGTAATGTGTTGTCTGGAAAAAAAGGCTTACTGATAGGAACTCAAGAGACTTTTTACTGTTGATGTAATATAGTTAAGTGGAAAGCTGTCCTCTTGAAAAGTAAGCCTGTAATCCTTTTTTCTTTAACAAGTACAGCCTAGCAGAAATTGTTACTTGTCTGTTTTAAGCTTTCACGCATTTTAGAAGCTCTCTCTCTGCTTAGAAGTGGTTAGGTACAGATGGATGTTGGGCAGGAAGGTGTTGCAGCAGATGCAGCTCAGCCAAAACCAAGCCTATCTCATTGCACACAACAGCTAGTCTCCACAGCAGTAATGACACTAGCTGTAGTCCTTTCTTATTAGCCAACACAGTTTTTCTCACAGTCATGGGTTACAGCAGATGCGTTTCCCATACCATTTCCTCTGAGGCTTTCAGAAATCAGATCCAGCATGTGCAGGTGAATAGTCTCATTCCTGGCTCTGATCAGCCTGTTCTGCCAACTCTGCCACTTCCTTATGTTTTCTAGTGTTGGCCTTTCATCACTTTCTCCAGTCTAAAATACTAGGACAGGACTGTCCAAGGTGAGAGGGTGGTGTCAGTGTAACAGTTCAGGTTTCCACAGATTGGTAAAATTTATATACAAAACCAGTGACGTACACCTTCCAGTGCAGTGGAGGTTACTTATGGGTAACAGTTCATTTGGCAAAAAAAGGAAGCAAACTAGGAAATCTGCAAAATATAAAGCATATAAAAAATTAAGTATGTCTAAATCATTACCCACAAGTAACTGCCACTGTACTGTATAGTGCCAATGTACAGGAACACAACCTATTTTTGAGTATCACAGATAGGTACCATAAACCTAGGAAACGGAGTAATTCAGCCTTCTTAGAGGACACCCCTAAGGCAATTAAACTGGTTCTGCTGTTCAGTCCATCTGCTAACCTGATGCTAACTGTAGTCTGTGTGCCAGTGTATGGTTTGGTGCAGACCTAACTTCAGAGGGGATTTTTTAAAAATCTTTTGGACTAAAAATGGTTAAATAGAACATAATACACACCTATTATTTCATTGTAATGGAGGGAAAATCACTTGGCACTTTTCTTTCTACATGGTGACATTTAAAACTACTTTAGGAAACAGAATGCTTGTATGCTGTTAAGTATCACTTTGCATTTAATTCTTTATGGTTGTGACTTTAATTCTTGTTGCCATTCAGGGATGTGACAAAGCCTTAACAGTGCTGTTTTTTGAAGGTCAGTGTAGCAAACTGTGATGAATGAGTTTTGAGTACAGGAAGGTTGTTATAAGGATGGCATGGTAACTATTTCATCCATCAGCTGCTTTTCATCACTGAAAAATGAAGAACTCCATGCTTAGCTGTGGTTGGTACAGCCTGTCTCTTCTTACTGCATTATCTCTTGAGAGAGTGCAGAGAGTACACCTTTTGGTGTAGAGGAAATATTTGCTTTGTTGAAGATAGGGCAGTGTTTTGGGGTAGGTTTTTTGGCCCAGACTGAAGTTGTCTGGGGTTCTATTCCAGGAGATGTTTAAATTGAATTCGCACTATTAAAAAATTAATTAAAAAACAAGCTTTCCTTTGCTTTCTTTCCCTTACCAGTGTAGTTCTCCAGCATCTTTTTTTAAAAGGCTTTAGTTAAAAAAACATGAAATTAAAATAAAATTGAAAAAAAACCTAAACAAACAAAAAAACCCAAAAAAACCACAAAAACAAAAGCCCAGCCTAAAAGCCTGGCTGGCATTTTTTCTCTCTGTAATATTGACATAGCTAATGTTTTTATTGATATTTAAAAGCATTTAGCTAAAATTATGCAGTTATCTGTCTTACTTGCGTAGAAATACACCATCTGCTGGCAGGTTGATTAATAATACAATATGCCAACTTTGAAATGTCTCAAACTCTGTTTCCAAAGGTCAACAATTTTAGAAGTAATTTACAGTCCTGAGTGGAAAGTTTTCTGAAAATTGCATGCAGCTGGAGGTCTATAGGTGTAGTGGCCAGTTGAGCCATAGTGTGGTCTCTGTGCGGAATTTAAATTGCTAGGACTTGGTTTTGTTCTTTTTTGGTTCAGGTTTTTGTTTTGGTTTGGTTTGGTTTTTCTTTTTGCAGTGTATTACTTTTGGCCTGTGTGGTATGGAGTATAGTGTGGAAAATAAGAATAGAATGTGATGCTTGAAAATTAGAAATTATCCAACCCTTAATTAATTAAAAATATTGTCTTATTAACAGTGCTTAGTTCTGGTGAGGCAAAGATATCTACTGATCATGCACACCTTCCTCAACCCATTTGCAGATGGGAGTTGCACAAATTAATTTTCAGTAGGAATTAAAAGAACCATAAAGGGGTGGGAAGATACAGGAAGCATGAGCACTTTGATAAATGAGGAGCAAAGGAGAAAAAAGGCAAGCAAAATACCACAAAAATTGATAAAAACCCTGATGGTGAACATACTTCCTGCGAATGCTGAAGTTATATTGGACAAATACTGAATTATTAAAGGATTGGTTCCCTGTATGAAGGCTGCTTTCTGACTGTTTCTTTGTGCAGTTAAATAATAAAGGGTCCAGCAGGTGGTACCTGGCTTACAGAATTAAATTAAAATGGAATCCTCCTTACTCCACAGAAGGAGACTTCGATGTTATGCTGCATAGATATGCACCCCAGTTGCCACAGGGGTTAGAATGGCATTAGTGACTATGACAGTTTCAGCCTTTCTGCTGTGATAACTTAGTAAGCAATTGCATTCAAATTGTTCCACAAACTGCAGGTAAGAAATTGTCACGTGTAGCACAGATGTAGTGCTGCCATCTTTTGTATAATTATCTGGAAAAAGAAGTCACAGGTAGTGAGTGACATGTCCTTTCTGAGAATATAAACAGCATAATGCTGTATTTAAAAAAAAAGAAACCTTTTTTTTTGTGTCAAGATAACTTTCTAAAGAGAAAGTCTTCCGTGTGAACAGTGTATTGTATTGATTGCTTTTGTATTAAGTGGAATTATGAAGCTTACTAGGAGCCACTAAATAAAACCTTTTGATTTTACAGGAGTTACTAAAGTTGATTATGGGGACATATCATCACGACTTGGACTAAGACGCAAGCTCCAGTGCAAGCCTTTCTCCTGGTACCTCGAGAATGTTTATCCTGATTCCCAAATTCCACGCCATTACTTTTCTCTGGGAGAGGTTAGATTTTATCCTATGTATTTATCTACCCTATGGAAAGTATGTTACACAGTAAGTTGTTGGTATTCTGAACTGAGTAGTGCAAACAAGTTATCTCCAGCAAAGTTCAGGTATCTTGCTCCTGTGTTCCTGTCATGTGAAATGATACATCTGGATTCTTGGTGGGGCAGAAAACTGGAATTTGGTATACAATACTGTAATTTGAATGCTTTCCCCTTTTTTACTATAGTACTAAATGTCACATAGAAGGGCTTTAGAAATACTCCTTCAGAAATGTGTAGTTGTGGATAACTTTCTGTAGAACATTCCATATTTGGAGTATGAGCAGAGTTTTGCTTAAAAAACTAGATCAGGTCAAGCAAGGACTTGACCTAAAAACTGCTCTGAACTTTACCCTCAGAACCTGTGTCAGTGACCAGCAAATGACAGTGATCCCTACGCTTTGCTGGACATTTCTCTTTTTTTTCTTTAAGGTTTCTTAAGTGACTGTAGAGGTAGTACAGATGATGTTGTCCTAAACAAGTAGGCACCTAATCTCTCCTACAAGTCATGCTAAGCCAAATATTGAGCCTCTTGTAGGGTGATTTTGTACTGTTTGTTTTTAAGAGAACAATTTTTAACAAAATGGAGCAGGCATTCACGCTGCTGCATGCATATCAGGAGACTGATATTCATGCCTGCTTACTTGATAGTAATACAGGGATTAAGGCTGTAACTCAAGAAGTGCAGAAATTGAACCCAGTCACCTGTGATTTCAAAGGGAATTAAAGACACTGTGCCTAGGAGAGTGCTTTAAAACTCCTGGCGGTTTGGGGCTGGAAATTGGATTGCATCCATTCTGTGGTAGCTGAGTCTTTGAGCAAAAAGAGTCCCCAAGATGGAAAGATCCCTGAAAGAAAGCAAAGAAACAAACATGATTCTGTAACCTGGTAGCTTGAACGTTTGCTTGGGAATTTGAGTCTCAGATAGTGGTCTCTTGTTGTGGTACAGTTCCTGTATTTTTACATTTATTTTGTGTAACCTCTGGGGATACAGCATAGAGAACTGGTGCCAGTGTGGTTTGAGATGGGCCTAGTTCTTTTCTGAAGACAACAACCTTTGTCTTTTTTTTCACTCCAGATAAGAAACGTGGAGACAAATCAATGTCTGGATAACATGGCAAGAAAAGAAAATGAAAAAGTTGGAATCTTTAACTGCCATGGGATGGGTGGCAATCAGGTGACAATTTTTTTTACAATCTTCATGTATCAAATTGTTTGGAACACTACTTCTCATCAGAACAATTCTTTGATTATTTCAGTAGTTATCCTTAAAATATACTTAAGTTGTAAAGTTTAAGAAATCCTCACTGAAGAAGATGCCTGCAAGAGAAAATGCTTGAGAACTTTTGTTGGCAGCTTGTCATTTGTAGGTTTTTGAGGCCTGACTGCAACAGATTTTTAGATGAACTTTCAAGGAAAAAAAAAATGAGCAGAGGAGAAGCTTGCTATAAGCTAGGCCTCACCTCTTGTAGGTTCTCTGGAACTGTCTCGTGTTTAGACCTCCTGATTGGCGTCGTTACTTTAAAAAAAAAAAGTGTCTGGACCTGAAATGCCATTTTTAATGTATATTTTTTCTGGGTGTCAGTTCTGGAATTTATTTTACATGTTTTTTTGTTCTACTTTGTTAATAATTCTTGATTAGTTGTTTTCCAATATACAGAGATTACCTGTGTTGGGGATCCTCCTGTTTTTACATAGGAATCAGTCTGCAATTGAAAACACAAAAATCAATTTTGACTTCAGAGCTTGTTCATATAGTGTTTGTATTTATTCCCTAAAAAAAAAAAAGTCTCTGACAACTCTTTCTATACATGCTGAAGGGAAAAGAAAAACAAATCAGTGGACATTAATGAAGTGATGCACAAATGTTTCCCCTTCCCCCTGCCCCAGGAATCTTTTAGTTGAACATTTTTTTCAGTTCCTCTCATTCTTTTTCTGTGTAGGTTTTCTCATACACTGCCAACAAAGAAATTCGAACAGATGATTTGTGTTTAGATGTATCCAAACTTAATGGCCCAGTAACGATGCTCAAGTGCCACCATCTAAAAGGAAATCAGCTTTGGGAGTATGATCCAGTGGTAAGTTTTCTAATGATTTGTGACATTAAAATGAAAAAACTTGGGGTTTTGTAGCCTACAGAGTAACGTATTCCAGTGTGGGACCACTATTTGACAGTCAAAACAGAAACAAAGTCAGGATTATGTTCCCTCTGTTATTAATTCATGGTGTAGTCACTCAGTGGACATCTGTAATAATTACCTAGTGAGTTTTGAGGGAGCTTTTAAAAGAATATTTTCAATGTGCTTTTGGATCTTCTGGAGAAAGATAGTCTGCTAGTGTAGTGCTGTGTTACGATGAGATCAACAATGGAAAAGTATTCCAGGTATCTACTGGACCAGGTAATGCTAACGATCTTGTGACAAATCCAACACGTGGTGTCTTATCTTGCACAAGGTTAACAGGAAATACTTTTCTAATTAAAAAAATCCGCATCCCAAAATTATAAGGAAGATGTTACATTTCTAATTGTGGCATGTTTAAGGTAGGGATGCTTAAAACAGCTTTACTTTAATCATTCTTTCTTGTATGTACTGTTCCAATTTATTTTGAAGCTCACAGATAGAACTTCCAGATCTAGAAGTCATTGACTGTTGATCCATTCATTGTTAATTTGATTTGCAAGCTCTAAAAAAAAATTTGTGATTGTGCAGTGAAGAACTCTGACTTTATGGCATGACTAGTTAGAATAATTCTTAAGCTCATTAATTTAAAATCAGCTATTGCAAAAGACAGTTGCGAGACAAACTGTGGAAGAATAATCTTGCCAGTATAATGGTGACAACTATTTTACAAGGAGAACATGTAGATATTTATGTACTAAAAAGTAATTTCACTGATTTCAAAAAAAAGCGTGAGTATTTCTAACTAAATAGACTTGCAGTAGGTTTTAGCAGCTGAGGTGTTAACAAAAGCTACAGCCTTTAAGACTAAAAGGAAATAACATAAGAATTATGATTTTTTTATTGGGATGGAAGTTAATGTGGAAGACAGTAGATCTCTACTAGGATTTCTGCACATTGCTAGCAACTACTGATAAGAGACTGAAGAAAACTGTTGAAGGCTTTCAGGATTAAATGTTAATTGAAATTATTAAATCTGAGTATTGGGAATTATTCATTTTTGGTTTTTATGCAGTTAGTTTGCCTGCCCTAAGTAAATAAGATGAGTAGTATTGCTACATGCAATGATTCACCAAACAAAAAGTGCTTTTTATTTTGTAGCTTATGGTTGCCACAGGTTGTAAAGCAGACTTCCCCTTTGTTGATCCTCAGCCATAGATTTGTTTGTATGTGTTTTTTCTCTTTATTCTGTCAATGTAAAATCTAGGTATAATCTTCAGAACTTTACCAAAAGCTGGCTAATAAAGCACAAAAATAAGTTAGAAAATACTTAGCAAGAACTCCTGCCCACAGAGTTGGGTGATTTTTCTGTAGATTTTTTTTCCTTCTGCCTGTTGAGGAGACATGTAAGAAGCCCCTTTCCCTTAATGTCTCCCAGGAAGAAAAAGAAAAGGGGCTTTGTGCTAGTTATTTGTCTATTTAAGTCTGTCCCAACTCCCTTCTTCATTCTTCAGCTACTGTACGAGTGCAGGAGAGGGATATGCTCAGGTTTTTTGTTGGTTTTGGGTTGGTTTTTTGTTTGTTTTTACCATTTGCTGCTTGTGCACATAAGGTCTGCCTGTTCTGACGCTTTTCAGTCAGTCCAGTGTCCTGGTTGTGCTGCTGAGTGAGATAGTAATGCTGGTCAGTACCACAGACAAGTTAATGCACTGGTGGGTATCCATAGTACAGAAGCAGGAAATGCAGCTTCTGAAGATCTCTTCTCCATGAGGACAGTACCAAGGTAGACAGAGTGGTGTGTGGAAGATTGCATAAGTAAGATTTGTAGGTATTGGAAAAGATATGTACGTGTGTGAATTTATACACATCTTTTTTTTAAAAGTAGATGCTTTTTAAAAAGAACATAATATTACACATGAACATAGTGTAAGGTCAGTTTTGTGTCCCCAGCTGAGAAAAAAGTGTACTTTTGTATACATAGTCAATGTGTTCATTCTGATCTGATCAAAAATACTATTACAACTAATAACTGAAGATGTGTATCTTACCAAACTTTAATTTCTAACTCCTCAAAGATTCCCTAGCTGTGTAATCCTATGTAAAGAATGGTGGATATTGCTTGGTAAAGAGTGTAGTTTTAAAGTTCAGCCTAGTATCTACAACATCCAATAGCATATGTAAGTGTTCTTTTGAATTGGGATCTGGAGTCAGTAGCCAACAGATCTTTTCTAGTTCATGCTTATCTATGGAAGAATGTTAATGGCCACTAGAAGCTTTTTTGATTGGCTTATACCTGGTGATTTTTGTAAAACTAATTTCTTTTTATTTTGTCTTTAAGAAATTAACCCTGTTGCATGTGAACAGTAACCAGTGCCTGGACAAAGCCACTGAAGAGGACAGCCAGGTACCCAGCATCAGAGACTGCAACGGCAGCCGCTCCCAGCAGTGGCTACTTCGCAATGTCACCCTTCCAGAAATATTCTGAGAGGTTCTAAAGAAAAGCAAGGACTGACTGGGCTACCTCGGCTGATACTTTGGCTACACTGTTAAGTAGCAACAGAAGAAGCTTCTGCTCGGCAGAATCCACAGTTCGCCAGCTGTTAGAACTCCTGCAGCTTCTCAGTAGCTGTGAACCAGCCTTCCTGTATAAGGATGTGAAACTACCACACATACTAGTGAAACTGTGCCCACTGATGTTTACAAGATTGAAAGAGTTTCTTCCAGCAAATAATTCAGAGAATGTTTGGACAGTGGAAACATAATCAATGAAATAGTCTCTCTGAAGAGCTGCATATCATTGTAGTTTGCTTGCACGTCAGTAACCTCTGCTGAAAGTGCTGTTGTAATGAAGAAAGTTTCAAGAATTTTTTTCCTGGTTAGCAGTGGCAACCAGACTACTAAATATAGATCCACAACACGTGAAAGAGAGCTGGAGACCAGATTCAGTAACATGAAATAAGAATTCTGTGATTTAAAAACAAAAAGTAAACAGGGTTTAATGGAAACTAAATCAGAACTATGAAAAGTACAATTTGTTATAGTGAAGTATCAAATTTATATGTAGATTTTATACCTCACTGGGGGAAAATAACCAAGTCAAAAGGCAATTGTTCCTCTTTTTCAATTGTGTGATAGTCCATAAATACTTTTTTTTTTTCCAGTGGGTCTAAAATTGTTTTGGGTGCAAACAAAATGGGCATAAGAATAAACTTAGCTCTTGAATGTCAGATCAACTTTTTTCATTTTTTAATTTTAGTTTCTTGGCTGTTGGAATTGTATCTTTTTATTACTGTCTGAAAACTGGAGCTTAACATGCTGTCTAACTTTTTTTTTCTGTCCAGACTTGCCATTTCAGTTGATACTTGGGTCAGTCAGCTTATGGACTTTAATGGCCAAACAAAAGATTTAAGTACACTTTGAAATTATTAAGTCAACTTGATGGAATATGCTTAGTGCCCAAGACTCATGCTACTGTACTATGGTTTTGTTTTCAAAGCAATAAATCTTTTGTTCCTTGTTTGATTTCAGTCATCAGAAAGCCAGAAGAAGATACGTGATTTGGGTAGCAGGAAACTGGCAAAACTGAAGGTTTTCTGGAATCCTTTTTCACTTCATATTCAGATGTGCTTCATTGTCAAGTGCATATTTAGATTAGACTCTGAATTGTAATGTTGATCTGCTGCTTTTTTCTAATAAAACCTAAAGAAAAATAGCTAAATTGGCATGGTTTTTAAAGTTAACATAGCCAAAAGCAATATGACTGCATTTTTTAACTGAATTGCTGTGTTTTGTTAAGAAAAATCTGTGTGGGCTGATCTTGAAAATGAGCCACTGAACAGTCAGAATATATGTTGAATTTTCTTTTGGAAAGAAAAATGAGATTTGCTTAATGGAGATGATATTTTTATGATAAATGTAATTGTTTGGCCAACTGTCCTGGAAAGCAAATTAAACCTAGACACATGCAAAAGTTGTGTGGAATTATATTTGGCTGTTAAGGCCTTTTTAGATTTACTATTCCAAGTTGCTTTAGTCAGTGTTATCTGTTATTTTTGCAGCAGTACACAAGAGTTTTGATGCACAAAGCAGGGGAAATGTCACCAAATTGCAGCATCATGTTGCTACTTTAAAAATATATAGGATGAGATGATGTGGGATTACTATCAGATAAAGCATCTAAATATCTAACTATCTTTCATCACCCCTCTTATTGGATAGCCCTGCAAATCTTATGAGGTTGAAGTAGATTTATTAAAGTAATTGTATGGTACATTTATTGGCAAGACATTGAAGTGTGTCAAGATGACTTAAAAAAAAAGTCAGTGGTTATGTGTGAGAAGACTTCTTTGGTACAGTTAGTGAAGAGGATGGTATGGGTGACAGTGTCATCATTTGTAATTTATGTGTTTTCTTGCTCTTAGGCACTCTGTGGTCCCTCCTGCTTTTATACTGTTTCTGAGGTGCAGTTTATGGTTGTCTGATACTGCATATTAGCCACCAAAATACTGTTTTCAGTTTTCTTCTGTGTACCAGTGAATGATGGTTTGGGTCATGTTTTGGATTTTGTTTTAGTTTATCTTGGCAAACTAGCACTTTTTTTTTTTATTGGGGGGGGGGGGGTGGTGTAAAAATGAGGTTATGTATTAGTTCAGAAACAGTCTCTCGAACTCAAAGTACATTGCTAGCAAAGATGGTGTGAATCAGAGGTGGGTAACCTTTTGTGAAATGAGAAGCAGGAGCATCAGATGTGCAGTGTAAAAGTCCTGTAATTTTTCAAAATTTCTTAATTTAGTGTTTCAGGTTTCATAAGTATATGGCATATCACTGAAAACACAAAAACAAATACATTTTCACTTTATGTTTTTAACTCTTATGATTACTAATGCGATATCCTTTTAACAAAGATGAAGTACCATGGCTTGTAATGTAACTAAACCTGTAGGCAGGCCTCAACGTTACTATGATTTTGACCCTTGTTAATTCCACAGGTCATTTTATATGTTGGTCACATAAACTGCAGTAACAATCATCGCACAGCTGAAAACCCATGTATCAAGTTGTCAGCTTTGGAAAGCTGAAGTAGCCATCTGATTTCCAGCCTTGCCTTACCAGTCCTTAACTGCCAAGGTCGCCCTCTTCCCCCACTGAATACGAGGAGAGGGAGCAGCAGACTGGGGAGTGTCTTTGGTCTCTAAGTGTTTGGCTCAAAACCCCTTAGCTCAGCCAGTCCTGTGGTGGGGTAACTGGTTGACTGGCAGTGGGCTGTGTTGGGCTTACCTGGCTTGTACAGGCTGTGTTGGTGGACAACGCAGGGCTTCTGCAAGGATTGCCATTCACTCTGTTAATGTGCATTTTAAATACTCTGTTGTATTAAGCACCTTTTGAACATGGCCACAGAATAGCTTCCCCCACACTGCTTTCTTGTAGCTTCTCTTAGCACAAATGTGGTGACTGTCATCAGAGGTACCTGCTCAAAGTGAGCTTCTTTAGTGACTCTGTGGGACTGTAGTCTCTCAGTGGTGGTCCTCCATTTACAGATATTGTACTTCTATGTCCCAGCTTTGCATAGGAATGTTAGTTGACTCTGGCCTTTCAGTATTACAGGTGTACTTAATTCCCGTCATCTAATCTAATTAGGTCATCTTCAGATGGAAATTTTAGAACCTCTCTATGTAGTTATTTTTATTTAATCTGTGCTGGGAAAAAAAAAATGCATTGTGTTTTTTCTTATTGGGTAAAATACTGGTGGTGTTAGGCATATGAATAATTTCTAGGATAAATCCCACTCTGCTCTCCAGTGCCTCTGCATTTATGGCTGCTTTGTTCAGATCAGATGTAAGAGTGGAAAAAAGAAAAAACCCATGCAAATACATGCAGGGTAAGGGAAAAAACAAAACAAAACCAAGAAAAACCCAAACAAATCAGTAGTGGGATTTTGAAGATAATTGGTAAACTCTCTTTTTGTCCTTTTTTTGTCCTGTACTCAGTGTGTTTAGCATAAATTTCCTATGCATGCTCTAAAAGCAGTGTTCTGTTCTCCATCTCTTCTCATTTGCCTGTGTGAAGGCATTTATTGAGAAACACCAGTGCCTGTTAACTGAGTTGAAGTGTATTAGGTATTATTGTACAAACTTTGGATAACTACACTATGCCAGGTCTGATTAGGTCATCTTCAGTCTTTTTAGCTGCTAAAAATCACAGAATAGTTATCTGTGTGTACATATAACTCTGAATGTTTTTCTCTCAATCTGCCAGTTTGTTGTATCAGTATGAAATTAAGTTGTATTTAGTAGCTTTATATTTATGGTAGTACTGTATGAAAGGGCTTAGCGATCACTCTTCATTTTATCACAGCAATGATCCTAATCTGAAATACATACTGTAGGCAAAAGAATCTGTGTTACAATTTAGCAGCCAAAGTAAGATAATATTTTTAATTCTTGCTGCTTAGTTGCTCTGTTCTGTTCAAGTAGTGTAATGCATTCAGAGACTGAGCAAAACCTTGGTAGGTTTATTCTGCCATGTTTCCCCTTCAAGGTTAAGTAAGGAGATGCAAGTATGTTTCAGAAGATGAACTGGAAAATAGTTACTCAGAGCTTCACTACATTAACAATTCCTGCATGCTTTCAAATGAAGAAATGTGGAAAAATTTAAGTGTTACAGGATAGATTATAATACCTTTAGGAGCCTTGCATCTTATTTGAACTTAATTGTAATATTAGCGGTTTATGATCAGACTTGCACATCAGGGTGCTGTTTGCTCTCAGGCCTGTAAGAACATTTCTTACAGTCATCTTAAAGTAAATAATTCCCAAGGTTTTGTCTTACTCTAAACACTCTAATAATTGAGGATTGTTCAACTAAACATACCTTGATATTAGGTGAAGGTGGTGCACATAGTGTACAGTACTTTGAATAACAAAATAGTACTTTTTGTGTAATAAAAGCTTTTAATGTAGAAAGCAAAATTGGCATATAGCTATTACATTATCTAGAGACTAGAAATTTTGATGTTGAGATTAAAACTAACTCACTACATTGTTCATATCTCTTTTTAATCTCAGAGAATGCATTTCTAGCATTCTGCTTGCATTTCATGCAGTGACAACGAATCCTTACCATGCTGAGCCATTCAGCCAGTTGATGCTACTCCATATCAAAACCAAACTCAGATGAAAGCAATCTGCTACTTCTAACCATAAACCAAGTAATTGCCGTAGCACTGTTTCAAGGCATAGATAGAAACCTGCCTCTGAAATGGTCATTACTGGTTTCCTTGTCTCTGCCTCTGAAGCAACTAGTAAGACAGAAGAACATCCTTTCATTCAGTTTTAAATGCATCATCTTTCTTTCAGTAGATGGATGCCTTTATTCTCAGATAACGATAACCTTGATATTATTCATGCTTTGTATTCTTCAAAAAAGCTTTTTGGTCTTACCTCTTTTGGAATTCTCTACCTTTTATCACTTTTCTCTGACTTATCTTTTTTTTTAGTCTTTCAAATTTGGGGTATGGTGTTTAAGGTACTGATGAGTTCATATATTGCCGCTAGAGATGTACATTATTTCTATGTTATGCATTGTGCTTTCTAATAGTGCATTTTCATGAAGTGATCTCAGTTGCATTTTAGTCTTATGAACATTTAGCTTAAAACAGAGGACTATAGAAGTAATTCTTTGTTCCATTTTGCATTAAGTTGAATGTATAGATTTTTGCTTTATTCCCTTGTATGCTGTTTGATCACGTAGCTTTGTTTTTTTTGCTATCTTAAGTAACTTGGACTTCTTTCTCAGTACTTAATGATACTGGTTCAGTTGCAAGTTTCTGACATTCCCACTTCTGCTTTCCACTTGGTTGGAACGGACCTCTGCAGGTCATCTGGTCCAAATCCCTTCAAAAACAGGGCTGACTTCAAAGTTAGATCAGGTTGCTCAGAGCCTTGTCCAGTCAAGGTCTCAATGTCTTGAAGGATGCAACCTTTGGGCCAGCCTGTTTGCATTTTGACATGGCTCAGGGTGAAGATTTCCACCCCCCCCCACCCACCCCGCCCCGTACCTAATTGGAATTTCCTTTCCTGTAACTTTTTGCTTCTCATCCTTTCACTCTGTATTTCAAAGCTAATCATAAATCTTCGCTGTTCAGATACTCTGTTTGCTATGTCACTTCCCTGTTTCTGGGACTATAACCAGTTGGCCATGTATGGTTTGTATACTGAAAGTGAAATGCTAATAGAAAGGCGGTTAAACCAGTGTTTTAAGAGACTTCACTGCTTCCTCTAAATTCTAGAAACATGCCTTTCCTACAAACGTAACTTTGGCAAAGGCAGGCACCTATCCTACTAAGTGGTCCAAGAAAAACTGTTGGGTCTGTGTCCAGTCCACAGGAAGTGGGAAAGGAGCCCAGCCTTCATTGCTGTGGCAACTTCAGCATTGGAAATATTCAGACCAAAGAATTTGAGAGTAAGTTTCGTAGTTGCCTTGGCCGCACGATGAGGAAATCTGGATTGTTTCAGAGCAGAAACCTTGTTTCAAGTTCAGTGAAAACAGGAAGAATTTTCTAACTGCTGTTTTCTGTCATGGTTTTGATGGATGTGAATTGATTAATCAGGGTATCCAGATCTCTAATGGATCTTTTTGGTCTGAAAATGTTTTCAGGTAGATAACCAGTTTAGCAAAGTGATAGGTTCAGACCTATGCCAGTTACATGGACACAGCTCAAATGATCAATTCTGATGGTAAGTATTCTAGGATCTCAGGATATAACAGCTGTGACTATGGGTGATTCCTGTAATACAGTGATGACTTGTTGAATGCCATTGAACTCTTCACTTGAAATTTCTCCTGTAGTCTTTTAAATTAGGGAAGTGCTGGGAGTGGAAAGTCGCTTCCATTACCAGGGTACAGAGCCTCTCCCCATGTGAAATGAAAAAAGACATGTATCCTTGAGGCAGCAAGATCAAGTTGCACATG